TTCGTTCCGCCCCTCCGCACTCCTCCCGAACATCCGCGATCCGTCCCATTCCCCCCCACCCTGCGCACTCCTCCCAAACCTTCCGCAACCGTCCCAGTCCTCCACACCCCTCCGAACTCTTCCCGAAACCTCCGCAATCCTGCCAGTCTCTCCACCCCTCCACACTTTCCCCGAACATCCGCAACTCGACCATCTCTCCACATCCCTCCGCACTCTCCCCAAAACCTCCGCAACCCCCCCATTCCCCCACATCCCTCCGCACTCCTCCCGAAACCTCCGCAACCCTTTTGTCATTCCACATCACTCCGCACTCCTCCCAGACATCCGCACCTCCCCCATTCCTCCAGGCCCCTCCGCACTCCTCCCGAAACCTCCACAACCGTCCCATTCCTCCACATCCCTCCGCACTCGCCCCGAAACCTCCGGAGCCCTTCCATATCTCACCACTCCCCCGCACTCCTCCTGGGACATCCGCACATATCCGCACCTCCCCCATTCCTCCACACCCCTCCGCACTCCTCCCGAAACTTCCGCAACCCTCCCATGCCTCCACATCCCCTCGCACTCCTCCCAAACCTTGTGAAACCGTCCCATTCCTCCCCACTCCTCCGCACACCTCCCGAAAGAGACCTCCGCAACCCTCCCATTCCTCCACGCCCTTCCGCACTCCTCCCGACACCTTCGCAACCCTTTCATCCTTCTACATCCCTCCGCACTCCTCCCAAACCTTCTGCAACCGCCTCATTCCTTCCCACCCCTTCCGCACTCCTCACGAAAGAGATTTCCTCCACCCTCCCATTCCTCCCCACCCATCCGCACTCTCCCCGAAACCTCCGCAACCCTCCCAGTCCTCCCCACGCCTCCGCACTCCTTCCTCACCTCCCACAACCGTCCCATTTCCCCTGAACCCTCCGCACTCCTCCCAATCCTCTGAGGTTCTCCCATTCCTCCAGACCCCTCCGCACTCCTCCTGAAACGTCTCACCCCTCGCCCCAGCGTCTTACGCCCAGGAGCGGAACCTCCATCTTCCTCCTATTCCTTCTCCTCGCTTTCCTCCCCCCCCCCCCTCCCTCCTGTTCCTCATTCCTCCTTGAGGGTTGTGGGTGATGATGAGGTTGCTTCTGATGATGATGCTGATACTGATGATGGTGATGATGATGATGATGATGATGATGATGGTGGAGATGATGGTGGAGATGATGCCGCCAATGAGGACGATTGTGATTGTAATGCTGACGTTTGTGGCATCTGTACGGTCTCCTCCTCTCCCTCCTCCCTACTCCCACCTGCAAACAAGATGGGGGACCGTGCGTGGACATTATATTCGAACCCTGTGGCCCAAGGTGCCCCCCCGGACCCCCGAATTTAATATTGATGGCGTGGCGACGGGGGGAGCGTGAGTGGACAGAAATATTCGAACCCCAAAGTACCGCCTTTGCTGAGATCAACATTGATGTCGGGGGCGCGGGGGTGACTTAGAATCTCCCTCGAATGTGTGAGGGTTCGAATATATTGTCCATCTACTGTATGACATACTACGCTCAGCCGTGCTCTTCTACGCCCTGCTACGCCGTGCTCTACGATGCATCGCGTACCGTCTCGGGATCATTGCCCTGCTCGACATCCCTCTGTGCGAATAGAGAGGAGATCTAGGCCATGGTAAGGGATGGGAGGGAGGGTAGGACGTCAAATATGACGCGAGCGCACCTCGCTTGCCACCCACCCATCCCCTCGCTGCTTTCAATCCCCTCCCGTCCGAGTGAGTCGAATTCCCTCCCAACTTTTTCCCGTCTGCCCTCCTCCGATTGATCTTGTTCCTTCTCCACCTGTTCCGCTGGCTGTCTTCTGACGGCCAGCTGGCATACGAGTTTTTGAGCATCTGACCCTCAAGAACGTGGGGTTCTCGGGCCAGCCCTGTAACCCAGACCGTTGTCGCTCATGTTGTGCGACGGGGCGCGTCGAGTTCCACAAGACATAATCCATCGTTCATGTGCATCACAATCAGTACGCCTTACACGTGGTTGTTCCCTCGCCTTGTTGACGGATGGTGGATGTGAACTGCACTACGTTCAGCCATGTCGTAGTTGGGTTGGGCCCGCCGTTTGATTTCTTGCTCCAGAGGCGGCATTGTATCTCACCTTCCTTGGAGTGGCGGGGATCCGTAACTCGATTTGTCCCGCGCCGCCCATAGTGTACTCATCCGCTCGGTTAACTCACGACAGCTACTGGTGGGTCGCAAGCAAGTGGAAGAGCGGTCCACTGTGGAACGACTCTTGTGCATCGGCGTCAATATGCAGAGAAACCGTGGCGACGGTGATGTGTCAGAGTGGTGCGAGAAGTTCACCAAGTTCAGGCCGATCAGTGGTGAACTGCCATGGCGGAGGCACTAAGCGTGTCGGCGACTAAACCGCAATTCTATTTGCTCGTGGATCGGGCATTGGTGGCCAGCCAAACAACTTCTACGGTTGAGTACCCAGGTAGATTGTGGACAACGTGCACGCTTTCTTCGAAGTAAGTACGCTCTTGGGGTGTAAGAAACTCAGACAAGGTGGATGCATGATCCAGCGCCACGGAAGAGCAAACACGTTAAGCGAGCGGTAAGTTTTAGCAAAAGGTGTTTTGATAGTGGTGGCGTCGCAGTAATCATATCATTCAGCGTGCTAGAGTGCACCACCGTGCTGGCGTAAGGAAGACACGCGACCGAATGAGAGAACGACAACGACCACAAACCAACATATACGGGAGTATGTATTTGAGCGCTTACTGTATAAAGTTATATACGTGTAACCTATTGCCGCTTATTGGAGCCACCTGGAACGCATGTGAGTTGTTCCATTGGGACCTTTGGTGGAGCTCCCCATGGGACCACGAAACGTGTAAGGGGTTTGCCGAAATCGGTAGGGAACCGCATGCGACCCCCCGAGAGGAAGCAACCGCTTGTCTTCAAAACGAGGACCCCACACCACAGGATAGTTGGGGAAAAGGGTTTTAGGAAATACCTCAGAGGCTCTTCACACAGGCGGACCAGCCGCAAAAGTTGCAAGCACGATCAACACATGGCCTTTGTTGGAAGAGGATGGTGCGCGACTTGCGCATGTGCGGAGAGGCTTGCCGAGACGTGCAGAAGGTCCAGAGTACACGGGCGCCCGCCACTGGTGACGCCATGGACGGCATCGCAGACGACGACAGTTCACATCGACTTGATTGAAGGGAGCGCTACAACCCTCGGGCAGTGTTGGAGGACCTGCCAGTGCGAGCAGGTGGTTTCGAAAGCACCAAGGAGGGCGGCGAGGCACAGCGCCGAGTTATTGTCCCGTACGGTTCGATCGCATGGCCAGGCCGGAAGCAAGCGCACAGACCATGCCGGGGCTCATCTCGACTCATCCCAGTCGATTCGACACGATTTCGGCGGTTTCCGATTCCGATTCGATTCGATTCCAGATTCCGATTTAATTTCAGATTTTCCAATGAAGGCCTACTAGCCTGCCGATTTCCGTCGATTCGACTTTTCTCGACTCGGCTGCCGATTTCCGCCGATCCGACTCAGTTCGATCGCCGATACGACTTGTGGGTTCGATTATTTGCTCTCCTGCCATGCCTCCACCCAGAACTCTGTGGGGCCCTGGTTTTTCCAGCAGCCAGGCAGAGTATTGACGAAGGACGCCGCATTCCAGAACCGTTGGTTTCCCAATGAGTGCTTGTACTGAAGTGGTCCTGGCGGATTTTGAAGGATTTGGCGAAAGTTGGCGGCCGATTTCGGTAGGCGGCCGGGTTCCCAGGTTCCCGGTTCCGGGTTCCCCGGTTCCCGGTTCTTGGTTCCAGGCCGATTTCGGTGGGCGGCGGGGTTCACGGGTTTCCCGGTTCCCAGGTTCTTGGTCGATCTCCTTATCGACCGGTCTCACCATCGATATCATTACCCATTTCTCCATCGATCTCATTGTCGATCTCACAATCGATCTCACAATCCATCTCATTATGGATCGCACGAGCGATCTCAGAATCGATCTCACGATCGATCTCATTGAATCGACTTCACGATCGGTTATTATTGTCCTCACTATCGATCCCACTATCGATCTCGCTATCGATTTCACAATCGATCGAAATATCCAGATTATTAATTTTCAAGCTGTCCACTGAGATTGGGTTTTTTCTCTGGTATAATACGTCATCCACCCCTCGGCTGGCATGCAGCACTTCGCATGGCATAGGGACCCCCCGAGCAACCTCCTGGAGCAAGTGACCCACGCACCTTTAGATGCCCCAGATTTTAGGCTAGATGGACCGTCTGCCTGAGCAGCAGGAAGAGCCCAAACGAAGCGGGACAAGGGGCCCTGAGCTCGCCGGGCCACCAGAAACACCTTGGCCCTCGGGGGGGAGGGGAACCCAATCATGAGCACAGGAGCGGGCCCAGACTAGAGGTGGGTGTCTAACCCCCGCTCCACACTTCCAACCATCAATCCCATCCAGGCCGAAACTGTCCGTCCCATCCAGGCGGAGCTCATCCCACTTCTTCTGGTGAGTTCACCCTCCCACACCACCCATCTGATTCCCCAACCCAGCGGATGAATGTCCAGGACGACCGTCAGCATGCAAGGCGGCATCGGGGCGCAAATGTTTTCTTCTAGTATGGCGCCAGCATCACTTTTGTTGTTGCGAGTTGCGGGGTAAAGGACATGCGCATCCGCACTGTGTTCAGCGCTCGCAGTGCGTTGGCAAGTGAGAGTGCTTGGTCAGCGCAGACTTGAGCACTCTCATGGGCAATCGCAAGTATGAGGTATGCTGCAAGCTTGCGAGGAACCCGTCGCGCCTGCTGGCCTGAGCCGGTCATCGGCAGAATCATCGCCATCACCAGCATCAAAATCCGTATCGTCACCATCAGCAGCTTCACTATTCGTGTCAATTCGGGTTCGAGTCGTGGGGCGCACACTCGTGCTGGCCCACACGGCATGCCGAAGCTTGCCAGGCCAGACGGACGTGCTGCTTACTAGCTTACTAGCATGTTGGCGCAATGGCACGGGAACGCGTCGGAGGACCCGCATTCCAGCTGGAACAGGCTGACGTTGCGGTTCCGGGACAAAGGCCTGGAAGATGGTTTCGCCAAGGGGCGTTTGCCTAGGCTCCGCGGCAGCCTCTTTGCTTGCAGCTTGGTAACCTCGGGGGTTTTCTTCGTATCGTTAGTGATGCAGAAGCCATGGGACACCGACCAATACAGGAACTGACGGGGAGTATGAAACCTCAATCCACGACTTTGTGAGTTTTTCGAATGGATCAATCATTTGATGCCCAATTCGGGGATGTACGACCTCTATCTGTGCTGCGTGTGTGTGTGTGTGTGTGTGTTTGTGAGTGTGTGTGTGTGTGTGTTTGTGTGTGTTTGTGTCTGTTTGTGTCTGTTTGTGTCTGTGTCTGTGTCTGTGTTTGTGTTTGTGTTTGTGTTTGTGTTTGTGTTTGTGTGTGTGTGTGTCACACACGCGCCCCGCCGTCCCGCGGGGCGCCTTGCCCAGCATGCCCCTCCCCCCGCACTTGGTCCTCATCTGAGCTAAGGATTGCAAAAAAACCCTGGATTGCAATCCTTCGTTGCACGAAGGATTGCAAAAAAACCCTTCGTTCGAAGGATTGCAAAAAAACCTTCGTTGCAATCCTTCGTTGCAATCCTTCGTTGCAATCCTTCGCCCACCCCCCCGCGCTTGGTCCTCATCTGAGCTGCCGCTTCGCCCTGCGCCCGCCCCCCCTTCCGCTCGCCTGTTGACCGCGACGCGGGCCGGGCGCCTCGGGCTCCGCCGCGTGTGCCTCTGCGCGCCCGCCCCGCCGCCCGTGTGTCTAAGTGTGTGTCTAAGTGTGTGTCTGTGTGTGCCTGTGTCTGTGTCTGTGTCTGTCTGTGTGTGTCAATGTGTGTGTGTGTGTCTATGTGTGTGTGTGTCCGTGTGTGTCTGTGTGTGTCTGTGTGTGTGTGTGTGTGTCCGTGTGTGTCTGTGTGTGTCTGTGTTTGTTTGTGTGTGTATGTTTGTGTTTGTCTGTGTGTGTACCTGTGTGTCTGTGTGTGCTTGTCAGTGTGTCGATGTGTCTGTGTGTGTCTATGTGTTTGTGTGTTTGCCTGTGTGTCTGTGTGTGTCTGTGTGTGTGTTCGTGCGTGCCCGTGTCTGTCTGTGTGCTTGTGTGTGTGTCTGTGTGTGTGTGTCGTGTGTGTGTCTGTGTGTGTCTGTGTGTGTGTCTGTATGTGTGTCTGTGTGTGTGTCTGTGTGTGTGTCTGTGTGTGTCTGTGTCTGTATGTGTCTGTGAGTGTGTCTGTGTGTGTGTCTGTGTGTGTCTGTATGTGTGTTCGTTCGTTCCCGTGTCTGTCTGTGTGTTTGTGTGTGTGTGTGTCTGTGTGTGCGTCTGTGTGTGTGTGTGTCTGAGCGTGTGTGTCTGTGTGTATGTGTGTGTGGGTCTGTGTGTGTCTATGTGATTGTGTGTGTTTGTGTTTGTGTCTGTGTGTGTGTCTGTGTGTATGTGTGTCTGTGTGTGTTCGTGTGTGTCTGTGTGTGTCTGTTGTGCGTGTGCTTGTGTGTCTCTGTGTGTGTCCGTGTGTGTGTGTGTGTCTGTGTGGGTGGTTGTGTTTGTTTGTGTGTGTGTCTGGATGTGTGTTTCTATGTAAGTGTGTGCCTGTGTGTGCCTGTTTGTGTGTGTGTCTGTGTGTGCCTGTGTGTGTCTGTGTCTGTGTGTCTGTGTGTGTCGATGTATGTGTGTGTGACTATATGTGTTAGTGTGTGTCTCTGAGTGTGTCTGTGTGTGTCTGTGTCTGTTTGCGTGTGTGCCTGTGCGTGTCTGTGTGTGTCTGTGTGTGTGTTTGTGTGTGTGTGCGTCTGAGGGAGTCTGTGTGTGTCTGTGCGGGTCTGTGTGTATGTGTGTATTCGTGTGTGCCCGTATGTGCCCGTGTGTGTCTGTGTGTACATGTGTGTGTCTGTCTGTGTGTGTCAGTGTATGTGTGTGTATGTGTCAGTGTATGTCTCTGTTTGTTTGTGTGTGTCTGTGTGTGCCTGTCTGTGTCTGAGTGTGCCTGTGTGTGTCTGTGTGTGAGCCCGTGTATGTGTGTGTGCCTGTGTGTGTTCGTGTGTGTCTGTGTGTGTCTGTTGTGTGTGTGTGTCTGTATGTGTGTCTGCGTGTATATGTGAGTGTGTCTGTGTGCGTGTCTTTGTGTGTCTAAGTGTCTGTGTGTGTCTGTGTGTGTGTGTCTGCGTGTGTGTCTCTTTTTGTCTGTGTGTGTCTGTGTGTGTGTTCGTGAGTGCCCGTGTCTGTCTGTGTGTGTGTCTGTGTGTGCCTGTGTGTGTGTCTGTGTGTGTCTGTGTTTGTGTTTGTGTGTCTGTGTGTCTGTGTGTGTGTCTGTGTGTTTCTGTTGTTTGTGTGTGTGTCTGTGTGTGTGTCTGTGTGTGTTCGTGTGTGTGTGTGTGTGTCTGTGTGTGTGTTCGTGTGTGCTCGTGTCTGTTTGTGCGCCTGTGTGTGTGTTTGTGTGTGTGTCTGTGTGTGTGTCTACGTGTCTGTCTGTGTGTGTCTGTGTATGTGCGTGTGTGTCTGTGTGTGCCCGTGTGTGTTTGTGTGTCTGTGTGTGTGTCTGTGTGTGTCTGTGTCTGTGACTGTGTGTGTCTGTGTGTGTGTCTGTGTGTGTCTGCGTGTGTCTGTGTGTGTCTGTGTCTGTCTGTGTCTGTGTGTGACTGCGTGTGTCTGTGTGTGTGTCTGTGTGTGTCTGCAGGTGTCTGTGTGTGTATGTTTGTGTTCGTGTGTGCCCGTGTCTGTCTGTGTGTGTCTGTGTGTGTCTGTGTGTGCGTCCGTGTATGTGTGTGTCTGTGTGCGTGTCTGTGTGTGTGTGTCTGTGTGTGTTCGTGTGTGCCTGTGTGCTTATGTTGTGTGTGTGTCTGTGTTGGTGTCTGTGTGTCTGTGTGTGTCTGTGTGTGTCTTTGTCTGTCGATGTATCTGTGTGTTTGTCTGTGTGTGTCTGTGTGTTTGTGTCTGTGTGTGTGTGTCTGTGTCTGTCTATGTGTGTCTGTGTGTGTCAATGAATGTCTGTGTGTTTGTCTGTGTGTGCGTCCGTGTATGTGTCTGTGTGTTTCTGTGTGTGTCTGTGTGTGTTTGTGTGTGCCTGCTGGTGTCTGTTGTGTGTGTGCGCCTTTGTGTGCGTCTGTGTGTATATGTGTGTGTGTCGGCGTGTGTCTTTGTGTGTCTGTGTGTCTGTGTGTGTCTGTGCGTGTCTGTGTGTTTGTGTCTGTGTGTGTCTGTGAGTGGGTCTGTGTATGTGTGTTTGTCTGTGTGTGTCTCTGTGTGTGTCTGTGTTTTTGTGTCTGTGTGTTTCTGCGTGTGTCTGTGAGCATGTCTGTGTATGTGTGTGTCTCTGTGTGTCTGTGTGTGTGTGTGTGTCTGTGTGTGCCTGTGTGTGTCCGTGTGTGTCCGTGTATGTGTGTGTGTGCCTGTGTGTGTTCGTGTTTGTCTGTGTGGGTCTGTTGTGTGCGTGTGTGTGTGTCTGTGTGTGTGTCTGTGTGTATCTGTGAGTGTGTCCGTGTGCGTGTCTTTGTGTGTCGATGTGTTTGTGTGTGTCTGTGTGTGTGTCTGCGTGTGTTTCTGTGTGTGTCTGTGTGTGTCTCTGTTTGTCTGTGTGTGTCTGTGTGTGTTTTCGTGTGTGCCCGTGTCCGCCTGTGTGTCTGTGTGTGTGTGTCTGTGTGTGTCTGTGTGTGCTTGTGTATGTCCGTGCGTGTCTGTGTTTTTTTTGTGTATGTTGTGTGTGTGTGTGTGTGTCTGTGTGTGTGTCTGTTGTGTGAGAGTCTGTGTGTGTTCGTGCGTGTCCGTGTCTGTCTGGGTGTGTCTGTGTGCGTTTGTGTGTGTCTGTGTGTGTGTGTGTCTGTGTGTGTCTGTGTATCTGTGTATGTGTGTGTGTCTATGTGTGTGTCTGTGTGTGTGTCTGTGTGTGTTCGTGTGTGTCTGTGTGTGTCTGTGTTGTGTGTGTGTGTCTGTGTGTGTGTGTCTGTGTGTGTGGCTGTGTGTGTCTGTGTGTGTCTGTGTCACTGTCTGTGTGTCTGTGTGAGTGTCTGTGTGTGTGTCTATGTATGTCTGTGTGTTTTTGTGTGTGTGTCCGTGTATGTGTGTGCCTGTGTGTGCTCGTGTGTGTTTGTGTGTGTTTGTGTGTGTTTGTTGTGTGTCTGTGTGTGTCTGTGTGTGTCTGTGTATATGTGAGTGTGTCTGTGTGTGTTTCTGTGAGTGTCTGTGTGTGTGTCTGCGTGTGTCTGTGTGTGTCTGGTTGTTGTTCGTGCGTGCCCGTGTGTGTCTGTGTGTGTCTGTGTGTGTCTGTGTGTGTCTGTGTGTGTCCGTGTATGTGTGTGTGTGTCTCTGTGTGTGTTCGTTCGTTGCCCGCCCATAGCGGGGACACCGTATCCTCGCACCGTCTCATACCAGGCCGCACGCCAAGGCAAGCAATGCCGGCTGCAGTGGATGAGGGGGAGGTGACGTCTGGTTGTTGTTCGTGCGTGCCCGT